ACAGCCTCAGGCTTAGCAGCAGCAAAAAAAAGGGAGACCGAGCCTCAACCATTCGACCCTTCTTCTCACCCTCAATACCCTGAAACACTACAGCCATCAGTCACAAATTCCCAAAGCGCAAGCACCAAATGTCGTTTTTTTAACAAAAAATGCAAGCAGTCTCACTGATCCAAAGATCAGCTCTTCTTGAACAGCTTTCGCAGGTCTTCAAACAAACTTCCTACAAAGTGTTTACAAAGTGTTGGATCTTTACAAAAATTTGACAAAGTTTTGGAATTACAACTTTTTTACCGAGTTTTTGCATTACAAAGTTTTAACAAAGTCTACAACGTTTAAAAATAGAAATAACAAACTTCACAAAGTTTTGGACACTTACAGTACATTGAATTTTACAAAACTTTGGAACTACGAAGTTTTTACAAAGTATTGAACCTTTAGATATCTGAACAAAGCTTTGGACATTTATCAAGCTTTGAACAAGTTTTGGAATTTTACAAAGTTGTTACCAAGTTATTGAGTTTGAAAGTTTTTACAAAGCTTTTACAAAAGTGTTTGATGCTTACAAACTTTCTACAAAGTTTCGTTTTTTTCAATCTGTGTCAAAACTGTGTAAACTTTATTATTTGAAAACTTTGCAAAACGCTGTAAACTTTGTAAGAACTTTGTAAACTTTGTAAATACTTTGTAAACTTTGTAAAAGCTGTGTAAGCTTTGTAGAAACTTTGGTGAAATTCTAAAACTGTGTAAACTTTCAAAACTCTGCAACAACTGTGTAAAGATTGAAAAAATTGCAAACTTTGTCAAAACTTCGTAAACTGTTGTTAAAATTGTAAACTTTTTAAACACTGAAACACTTTAAACTTCGTAAACCTTTGTAAAAACTTTGTACACTTTGTAAACCTGTGTAAAAAACTGCGAAAACTTTGTGTAAAAAATTGTAAAATGCGAAAACTTTGTCAAAACTTTGTAAACACTTGTAAACTTTGCCAAAACTTTGTGAACTTTGTCAAAAAGTTTGTAAACATTGCAAACTTTGTACACTTTGTACTAACATGTTGTAAACTTTGTAAACAACTTTTAGATGTTGTAGGCCTTCGTAAACTCTATTTAAAAAAAGACCGTTATAAACTTCGTAGCACTTTGCAAACTTTGTAAAACGTTTTTAAACTTCGCAAACTTTGTCAAAGCATTGTAAACATTTTGAAAGACCTTGTGAACGTTGTGAAAACTTTGTAAACTTTGAACACTTTGTAAATTTCCTCAAAACTTTGTACAAATTGTGAAACTGTACAAACTTTGTAAAAACTTTGTAAAATGTAGAAAGAAACTTTGTAAACTTTGCAAATAAATAAACAATCAAAACTTTGTAATCGTTGTCAAAACTTTGTAAACTTTGTCGAAACTCTGTAAACTTTGCAAAACTTTGTAAACTTGGCAAAATCTTTGTGAACTTTCCAAAATCTTCAAAACTTTGTAAACTTTGTAAAAACTTTGTAAATTTGTGTAACAAAAGGCAAATGTCGCAAACTTTGTCAGAACGTTGTAAACTTTGTAAAAACTTTGTAAACTTTGTAAAAACTGCGTAAACTATGTAAACTTTGTAAAAACTTTCTAAAACTTTGTAAAGTTCTTTGATTTCACAAAGCAAGACATCAGCGCTCCTTTTGTCTCTTTCGAGATATTGGGGTGCAATGCATGGCCTGTCCCCCTTCGAACGCTGGCACCCCAAGATCACGCAAACACAGCAGAATGTCATCGAACAAGTCTTTGGCTGGCAAGCTCTCGGACAATTCAGGTTTGAGCATAGGATGTGCTTCCCCTCTGGAATGGAAGTCGCTTATGTTGGCTTCAGTAGGCACGCGAGCGAACCAGGCTTGAGAGCTATTCAAGGCTTCATGCTCTAGATGGATGCGCATCAAGGTTTGCGCAACTTCACCCTCGGCAGAGCCCTTTATTAAGGAGATCCTGACAGCCTCATTGTCTCCGAACCATACTTGAAGACCACACGAGATTTTGCTGTTCCAAAATTTTAACGCAAGGACTCCGGCAAACAATTCTAGTTCATAAATGATGGTGTCTTTGGTGAAGGCACCAAGCTCTAGACAAGTCTCAGAGTCAACATTGAACCCAAACCAAGAGACGCACTCGCCTCGGTCATCAACAAGGACACCACCAATGCCTCCCGTTTTGTTGCACTGTTCATATGAAGCATCGGAGTAGATGAACCATTGCGCAAGCCTGTGAGCACGAACCACCCTAGGTTTACCTGAGTTCAAGCGTTCAAACGTGAAACGAAGGGCATCTCGCAAGCTCTCGTCGATTTGCTTTTGGGCTCCGTAGGCGTGTTCGATTAGTTTACTTAGCACTAAGATCCCCAAGCGACCGTGGACGAAGCTGTCTGCAAATCCTAGTTTACCTCTAAGCACCAAAGCTTCGGGACGCGTCAACGTGCCTCGGTCCAGGGCAGCTTGTAACATTTTTTCAGTTCCAGCTTTCGTTGCTCAGTGTTCTCGATCATCAACTTTTGCTCCGAGGACAAAGAAAAATCAAACACAACACCGAGTGCGCGGCGCAGAGTGGAGAATTCCGTTTTCTTTTTCCCTTCCCGGGCAAACTCCCAACCTGTTAGCAAGAAGACCAGCTCCATTGCATGCTTTGCACTGTCCTGAGTCTCCGCCCTGGAAACAAGGACAAAGTCGTCATAGAAGTTGGTGTTCATTACAAACTGTCCTCTCGCAGCGATCAAGTGAAGCATCTTTGCAAACCGCAGAAAACAGTATACACTATGAGTAGCCCCAAAAGGCAGAGTCTGCATCTGATACACTTCAGCGTGCTCCGTCTCATGGTTGAAGATGCTGAAATATGCATACTTGAGATGGGACTCCCGGATAGCAATCTGTCGATAAGCACTCTTCAGATCATATGTCTTGGCAACCGAGGAACTGTCAAGTTGCCTCTCTGCACAGTGCCTGAAATACTGGTTTGTCAAGGCCGCCAGCGTGTCAATCATATGCAGATCCACTTTATTGCGAAAGAAGTGTTTTTGCACGATTTTTTGCCTAAAAAGAAGTGTTTTTCATGTCATTTGTTGTAAACATAAGTGTTTTTCACCAGCCATTTGTAAACTTTGTAAAAACTTTGTAAACTTTGTAAAAACTTTGTAAACTTTG